GAATAGGTGTAGACTCGATAGCTTAAGGTATTGGGTTAGTCATGGATATTTCATGTCTGCGCCCGACATTGCAAGCTCTAGAAAGCAGCGTTTCTCGAAACGTTCTGTTATATGCGCCCGTGTGACTTTTCAGTACGTACATTATACTTCCTTAGATAATCACATTCTTCCCTTTATGTGAACTCCGGGCGCAGTCTTACATTCAGGTGCCTCTCAATGAGCAGTGTGTCACGATAAAGCATACTGGGATCTCATACGTGCAGTAGAAAGTATCAACTAGATTTACGCTACCAGGGGAGTATCGATATTTGAATGCGAAAGTTATTTATCCTCGTCAGTACTTTGTTGATCGGATCTACACATCAATTACCTCGACAGCGTGATCTTCACAGAGCCTCAACTTATACGGTGGCATCTCTGGTTGATCATCAAGGTCCATGTGCGCTTACGCAACGCTTGGCATAGTATAGTGTGATCTAAACTGCGGGGAATAGGTGAGACACTCCACACCACCTTAAAGGCTGTCTCGGCTGTATCTATAGTAACTTAAACGTAAAAACAACGGTTTTGGTATTAACTTGTACGTTATTCTATTGCGATCGAACGCCTGTATATTAGCCTTCTGAATTAATCACATCTTTATTTCTCCATGAGAATAGTTATGCGGGTACCCTCCAGCTGGATACGCCTGGCAACGAGTATGACAGCCGCCACAACCTTCACTCGCCACCTTTGACTGGCATGCCGTTAGATCGATCTTATTACCTTTTTAGAGCTTTTGGACTAAATTTAACCCGTTAGCCACTTTCCTGATGAATTCGAACCAATTGAAGTGAATGCCAGCTATTTATAGCTTCTGATTGGTCAAAAACCTTTGCTGGTTCTGGTTTAAAAGGTGGTTGTTGGTGGTGGGTGCAAGTGTTAGCTGCAAGGGATGATTACTGCAGGCTGGCTGCGCAGCTATACTAGACAAAAGGTTGACCATTTTAAGAAGACTTGCCTCCTCGTAACGTAGCCATCCGCTAACATCGGTGTCTCTGTTAATTTGTCCTTAGTCGTGCAACACTCTTCACAGTGACAACACCCAAGGATCTCTGGCATGAAGCAAGAAATCCTCCGGCTGAACCTACAGGTCTGTCGTTCCAGGACAAAGCGGTGCTCATAACTGGAGTAAACTCAGGCCTTGGATGCTTCCCCTCTCATTCTGGCAGTGCATTCACAGGAGAAAGGCGACGAAGCCAGAACCTCGATCATTCATAGGACAGGACATACCGGTAAATAGTCGTTCTTATTCTTGAATTATCCAGCTTTGCTTATGCCAACACCTTTGCCGACCAACTAGATGAGAAATTTACCAGATTAGACGTCGCTCTGCTCTGTGCGGGCATTGCTGTTCCCGATTATCGAACCAGTACAGACAACTACGAATTGACTACTCAAGTCAATGTTCTGTCAAGCACGCTGCTAGCATTACGCTTCCTTCCGAAGCTGCGTGGTGTTGCTTCGTCGTCTACAGACAACGTTCTCCCATATCTCTGTTTTCTCAATAGCTTTTGGCTTCACACGTCGTCAATCCTGAATGGCTGCCCCCGGCTGGTCAAACTTTAATAGGAGCGCTGAACGATCGCTCCAAGTTTGATCTTACCAGACACTATTATCTTGCGAAGATGGCTGCTTGGTTTGGAATCTTGTGGATTGTAGAGCGCTCTGAAGCCTATCGCGATACGCGTAAGGCAGTTACTAATGCCTGTTGTCCTGGAAGTGAGTTGCACCCATGCATATTTCATTCACCCCTCTTCCCTCCCCTTCTTTATAATATGCGCTCTTGGTGGCGTCTGCTTTGAAAAAGTCGTTAATCTAATTATTGCACCGTGTCGCACCAATATGCAACGTGACCTTCCATGGTTTCAAAGAATCTCCCAGAAAATAATGCTCTTGCCTCTGAGCCGAAGCGCAGAAGAGGGAAGTCGGTCCCTTGTGAGTGCTACAGGGCTGGGCCCTGAGAGCACAGGCAAGTTCTGGAGAAACGATGAATATTCACCGCAAAGTCTCGCAACAACCACTTGCTTATATCATGACTGATACATCTTCTAGCCCAGGAGAAGTGCTGGAAAGCAAACGAGGCAAGGAACTAGCCCGCGAGGCTTGGGATGAGATCTTTATCATCATACAGCCATACCTCAAACCAGAGGACTCTTGAATGTGAGCCAAACGCTTCTCAGACTGTGACTCCAATTTCGGATGCCACAATCTCCAGTTTAGAGGCTTCCATACCATCGCTTCAATATTTGTATGCAATACTACCTTATATCAAGGCAATTGCGAAGGTGTGGCGTGTTCCAATTCAAGACCAAGTATCTCTTATGTCTTCTTTGGCAATCGTATAAATCGACAATTTTTACTTACGCAGAGATGAGAAAGAACAAGGGAAAAAAATTTCACGGCTAAAAAATGCGTTAGAGGAGAAGGCAGTCAACTTGTGGCATTAAACAAAGCAATACGGGCAGGATTTCTCAAGTTCTCGGCGATCTCGGTGTTTTATTATGGTACATGAGCAGAGTTGACACGCCAATAGGAAACGGGGTGTGGGCGGCCGAAGAGGGTAAAACTGCTATACCACCACTATGGGCTAACAGGCGTCTCTATTCTAATAGTGCAATGTGTTCTAAACAGACACACGTTTTAAATATATTTATGGCGTAGGTGCCACTTTGCTATGGTCGTCTACTCTATCAACACCCTTTCTTGCCATTCGTCTTGTCAGCGCCCGCTGGAATCATTACCTTAACCTACTTGGCCTGCTGGCTATCCTATCCGTATCATACTCTTGACCTTCTAGACATCAGTCATTCAAAAAAAAAAAGTTTACTTAGCCGTGACCTGAATAATACCATATGCTTCTAATTTATAGCTTTCTAAAGAGTAATCACCTGAATTCAGTCACTTAGGAGCCTTTATAAGGACCATGGAATATCACGTTAGTTCCTATTTATTATCGCCTGGAAATATTGAATCAATGAAAGAAATTGACGTAGTCATCGTCTAACTCACAGTTCCGTAGCCCGGATGGCTACCGCTCGGTGTGAATGATAACCATATACAGCACCACATTGGTCAGTTCTTAACTACGTAAGGAATCTAAAGAGCTACTCTCGAACGTTGCCTTCTCCGTAGACTGTAACTGGAATCTGAGTTGCTGCGAAATAATATCAAACCCCAACCAATCAGATCAAGGTTCTAAGTGAAGCTGCGTCTTATCGATAATATAATGTATGCTCTCCCCCGCCCCTTCTTCCTAGCAAGTCCGTAGAATATTCCAAGACACCTTTTTTTCCCTTTGTCCTTCTCAACGTTTCGCTCCATTGACTAAGGAGGAACACTACTCAGAGCCAAACCAAAGCTCCCTCGTCTAGCAAGTATATCAAGATCACCGAAAGTGAGTTTAGCACTATGTCTGACCTAGATGCCACGACCCCACGAGTTTTCCTCGCCCGCCATGGTGCGTGTTGAGTCCTCAATTGGTACTAAGTGAAAGTCTAAGAACAAAACCTCTAGGGGAGACAGAGTGGACTAAAACGGGCCAATATACCGGGAATACAGATCTAGAGCTCACAAGTGAGGGCATCAAGCAGGTCACCAGCACAGCGACTCAACTCGTCGGTGCTGGAAAACTCATAGACCCGGCGCAGGTCGTACGCATATGGGCGAGCCCTCGTAAACGGGCGCAGCAAACTCTCCATTATCTCTTCAACCCTGACACATCAAGTTCAGGCACCACTGTCCCCGACACCATTGCCGATAAGATTGTGAATACCGAGGATATTGCTGAATGGGACTACGGCGAGTACGAAGGCTTGAGGGTCGATGAGATCAGAGCAAGGAGAAAAGAGAAAGGTTTGGATAAGGAAAACCCGTGGAACATTTGGAAGGATGGCTGTGAGGGTGGCGAGTATGTTCAGTTCACACCACTTCCTTGGCCCGGCGGGAATTTGCTGAACTTCATTGTAGATCCATGGACCAAGTGACTTCCAGGCTGGACAGGCTGATCTCGCAAATTCAAGATTTGCAGCGGCCACTTATTGATGAGCAAAAGCCATGTAACGTTATTCTGGTAAGTATCTACTATGTAGCTATTGTTTCTTTCTCAGGCCCTGCTTTAACCTTAATTTGTTCGCAGGTCGCGCATGGACTCATTCTCCGAGCATTTGCAAAGCGATGGATGCGGTACCCCTTGGATATGCCGCTGCCCATGATGATGTCTCCCGGAGCGATTGCAATTCTTAGGTGCGTTATCCTTTGGTATTCATCTGTAACGAAATTAGAAGCGTTGACATTATGATCCAAGTTACAAAAATCGTAACATAAATGAGCCAGGATTTTTCCTTGGAATGTCGCTACCTCCCAAGGGCTAGTATTAGCGTGGTTAAGTTCGAAGGATCAAAGCCACCATCCCATGATTACAATACTTGACTAGTATTGACCGTACGCGGTTTGAAAAAGTTCATCAAGGCCCTACTGTTATAAGTCCATAGTTTTGTAGGTATTGCATGCCTTATGGAAGCATAGAGACACAAAAGCTTATAATGCCTATGTAGTAGTTAGTATAAGAGGGGTCACATGACGATATTTTCTTAGGTTGACGGCGTAGCTGACACTGTGCGTTGCTTGGTGATTCTAGTGAGTGAGTGGCAGGTACCTAATCTCCAAAAAAAAAAAAAAGCGCATCTTTATCTTAGCAAAATGTTTATGTTAAGTAAAATGTCTCTTCCCAACCATGATGTAACTAATAGAGAACATTTTATTTCATTGAATACTACGATATCACAATTACGTTGCTGCTTTTATCTTTCAGCCGTTTTCCAACCATGGTCTTGCTGCTGTAATTTGTATAAGTATTAAGAGATGTGCGCATGGTTTTTTTCGGTTTACTTCCTCGTTGGGCTAGGCCTGTTGACCAATGTTCTCAGCAATATAAGACTTACTTAATTATACGTCAACATCTCTTGATGGCACAGTTGGTAGCGCGTTGGACTGTAAAGGAAATACATTAGAGATCCACAGGTCGTGTGTTCGAGTCACACTCAGGAGAACATCTTTTTTTGCTTTAAGCGTTGGGAGATTTTATTATCTAAGCCTTTGGTTCAAGCTTGCTTAGACGAGATGATGGTTCCATTTCTACATGTGTGGGCCGTATGTTTTCCTTTATCGGAGGTTAACTTTTTAAATCCGGTAAATATTAGGTCTTGTTTTGGCCTAGGTTGATGCCTAGACAGGGGTGCACGAGCCAGTGCAGCGGGTCTGGAAAACATGGACCACGAAACATACAGTTTGATAATAAGCGCTACCAGAGGCGCGCCAGAGTGAAGAAGGACATCGGCACAGGTCTTCGTCCTTAGGACGTAAAACCTCATATTAACAACAACTCATTCGAAAGCACTATGATTATCTAACTGAATTTGACCAGCCCATATGAAATTAATCGCCCTTGAATAGTTCGAATTCGGTTTTTTTCCATCGTTGTAGCCTTATAACTAACCTGTTGACATATATCCCTCGTAAAATAGAGCTTTCGTATGTAGTTGTTTACTATGTTAAAAACTCTGTGTGTTTCTTATTAAGGCAGATTTTATTCCGAATATTGATATATGGGCCCAAATGTAAGCTACAACATTAGCCTAAGGACGGCGTGCTATAAATATAGTCTGGTTTACTTCGAAAATGTCGAAAAGTGCACTACATACCAGAAAGTCTAATGACGCGGTAAAGAATGAGTTGAATCCGCCGAGTCGTAGCCTATTACGCATCGAAGTACAGCCATAGCACCTTAGCTCCCAGCCCATATGTCGGACTATGCTCTCCTATCAAACATAGTACAGATGAAACAGACTGTAATAAAAATACCAATAACATGGCTTTTCCAATTTTCACCGACATAGTCGAACAGATTGTTCTACCCACCCAACCTCCTTCAGATGAGACGATGTACTTGGTCACAATGAGATGCTGAATAACCAACCTTAAATTTTGTATTCCTCTTATAAAAGGTCAGCTAATTGTTACTCGATTATTAAACAGAATACATCATCTTATTTCTCATCTACTCAGCTTTCCAAAAGGCCTGGCATCGCTTAACAACCTCGCACTGACACGGCGATAAAAAGACGTCCTTGCTGGACGGTCGCTTTGACTAGCTTCCAAAAGCCGCTATATCACCAGGGTCAATCTAACGGCTAGAAATACCGGAAAACGCACTCATGAAGATAAGACCGAAGACTGGCAAAAGCTATCCAAATACCAAGAAGACCACCTAGCCGCTTGGGTCGAAGCGACCGTCCAGCAAGGACGTCTTTTTATCGTCGTGTCAGTGCGAGGTTGTTAAGCGATACCAGGCATTTTGGAAAGCCGAGTAGATGAGGAATAAGATGATGTATTCTGTTTCATAACCGAGTAACAATTGGATGACCTTTTATAAGAGGAATACAAGGGGTGGTCCCTGACGCGCTGGTATTCAGGGGTGGCTTTTGGGGGGTTGGTACGCCGGGAGTTCGTCGGCTTAGTTCAAAAGCCTAAAGAGGCGGGCTATTTGCCAACATGATTCATCAGTCAACGCTCATTCTCGTGAGGGCCGGTATGAGAAGCAGGCAAAACTTGCCTTGAAATTCTTCTCGACCAAAGAGAAACCCCGGTGGATAGAGATGGAACTCCAGCCGCTTTTCTTAGAGGGGGACTAAGTACTGCTCAGAACACCTGAGCGATAGTTCAGCTCACCATCTTGCCTGTCGGTCTATACTTCTCCCCATCCCAAAGCTGAGGAAACCAGATCAGCCTCCCCACCAGAATTCCAGATAGCGGCTGGCATTGTGTTCTATTCCTTCTTTGCGTTGCTCGTGTCAATAAGTTCTCAAGATTTAGCCTCGTGCTACAAAATGGATTTTCCATACCAGCAGTGCTCCAGTTAGAAAACGTCGACAAATGAGTAGGGGTTCTTCTGGTTTAATGTCTTATTGCTAAAGAATCTACTAATAAGACTTCCGCATAGCAACGTACAAAAGGATGTGGTGAATTATTGTCATATTAGGCTTTTATCCTGCCTGGATATGTAGGCAGGTTGCATATGGTACTTAACCCGCATGTTCTTTCCTCTTATACACGCTGATTACTTTAAGTAATGACCGTATTTGTTCCATAATCCCAGTCCGGATGCCTAACGCCATGCAAAGTCTCCTCGCTTGTCATCTTATGCTGAGCGCAAACTAGAATCTCAATTTTGTAACCCTAGATATCTCATTTCAACCAGCCCTAAGACCACGAATGCGCAGAGAAAATGCCATCTATTAGGGTATCATACAATTCGTCGAAATATGTTGGATTTCCTTTCACTGAAAATGTGGCATGACGCATCATCATGTCCTAGTCATAAAGCCTGACGACTTGGTCTAAAGCCGAAAACCCCAGGTCTCTCGTAGAAACGTCCGTGTATGTTACATTAATGTTTCCGATGTCGCACCATCCGTTAACAGGCTATCGTCGAGTCAGTATTCTGCCAAAGCGAAAATGGGCGGTAGGTAGAGATAACTCACGATGCAACTCAAATATTTGCACCAGCTGCAGTGATTTTGCATGGAGTAGAAGTTGTGGAGAAGCACGATGAAAACAACGATGACCAGGATCAAGAACCCGGCACGAAGGAGCCACCATCCCCACCAAAGTGGTTTTCGGCCTTTAAAGAAACCAACTGGATTCCGGTAGAATGATGGGAAAGCCACGCTCGTGATTCCAGTTCCTCCTACGCTTGAATAAGATGAGCCCACGAAATGATCTTCACCAATCCTCCGTCGAAGGAAGTTTGGGGAGTGAAGAACACTGATGCCTAGACTCAGGCCAACGATGAAACCACCTATGTGCGAGAAATTATCTAAGCCAGGGAGAAGGCCGAGTACGAAGGAGATGACTATCTCAAGGAGGATAGAGAGTAATTCCCTTTTTGGATGACGCCTCTCGGTCCACGAATAGAGGAGATCGAGCAGGGTGATGGCGATAATGCCAAATAGAGCACCCGAGGCTCCCGTCGAAGAGATCCCTGGTGCGGCGAAGTTACCTCCCAGGACAAACCCGAAGATCCCGGCGCTCACGTAGACGAGGAAGAAACGGATGGATCCGATGGCCACTTCAATTTCCCTGCCCATGGTGAGCTGAAGGAGAAGGTTGAAGCCAATGTGAACGAAACCAGCATGGAGGAAGATTGGAGTGATAAAGCGGAACCATTGATTTGGTGCGGGTGTTTGGGTCAAACCATTAGCACCTAGCCACTGGGGGTTGGGCACACCGTCGAATCCACATAACTCGGAAAGTGAGCAGTGGTTGGAACCGCTGTTCGGATCGTTCGTCGTTGAGTTCGGGCAGGGAAAGGGGAAACCCGGTTCGAGAGGGTGTATATTTGGTGGTGTTACAAAATTCTGTATTCCATTGACGTTCTTCATACACGGCACGTATCTCGACCCCATATTGATGAGTACTTGTTGGGAAGGGCCAATCATGGGGTTGACGGAAGGTGTAGTCTGAATTGGAGAACCGGTCAATTGGGCTATAAGAAACGCATTGAGTTAGTAAGCGTTCAGAGATATCAGTGTGATATAGGCTGGGACTGTACATACCAGACTTGACTAATTCGGCGATGAAAACAGCTATCTGAATGATAGAGAAAAGGTACACGACGACGGGGATTCTTTTCTTATCGGATCCTAACATGCCCAATTCCCCAAAACGTAAGCGCCCGCCTCTTCCTTTGCCACGAGCACGAGGTGATGGGTCAGCATCGTAGACGTGGTCGGTAGAATCGTTAATATAACCAGGTGGCTTGTTGTGTTGCCGAAGAGGGATCTCGTCTGTGCTCACAGGAGAGCCATCGGCGGAGCCAGGTCTATGATACCGCGTGTCATGGGCGAAGCTTTGCTGGCTGCTGCTCATGCTATTTAACGTCGGACGGGACTGGGTGGGATAGACATGATCATCGAAAACAGTCTCAAAAGGCGAGGAAGCGGTAGCACCCGTAGCACCCGGTTGGTCGTGGTGGTACGGCTGTTGTGATGTGTAGGATGGCGGTGGATTAGTGGAGGGCGCGAGCGAAGGTTCGTAGTGATTGCGATTATATCGCGCCGAAGCGTCCGCGTAGTAGTCATTTGCAGCCATGGCTAATACTCCCAAAGACACAGAACCCAATATCTCTAGGTGTGATTTGTGTTATTACCCGTGCCAACGTTGGGATACGTCAGCAAGAGCACAGCGGATGGCAAGGGCCCAGGTGAAATCGGCTTATCACTAGAGCAGCTCAATATAACAAGGTCCTTCCCTTCGCTTCACCTATCTCTTGCGGGCGAGGTGCCTGCCGAGTGTGTTTCAGGAATGAATGGAAAATCGGCGGTCGAGACCAGGTGCTCGGGTTCCGAAATACCTAACAACGACAAAACTGTTGACTGCTACCAGCGCAGTAGCTGGATAAAGCGAGCCAATAATTTCCAAGGTTCCTGGTATTGGCACTCACTCGATAGGATTCTCAGTTGTAGCTGGAAGCTGGAAGTTGAAAGCTGAAAAGTGTGAGCCGTGTGTTGATAGTATTAGCGAATGTAGGAAGCGGAATGCAGACAGATACTGAAGGGACGTCGATGCTTCGGGTGGTTGATGATGATGAGTTGGAAGACAAAGTTAAAGCACTCCGATCTAAAACGAAGGAAAACAGAGGAAGGAAGTGAAGGTCGGATCACACAGTGGCCCCTCGAACGCTCCAATGGGCAAAAGGCGGCTGAGTGCAAGTTAACTGGGGAAGTTGTCGTCACCCATGCGGATTTCTCAGCTTGGGATCGCTATGGGTTTTAGGGGTCGTTGAGTGGTTAGTCTAGTGGTTAGTGGTTAGTGAAGTTGGCAACGGTTGTACTTAGCTCGATTGGGGAAGGCGGATGCCACAATGAGGCGGTGCCAGCCCCTGTCGAATACTTTCTGGCCACTGGCATTAGGCGCTAGAATGGCTCGGGGGCCCGTTGATTAAGTAGGGACTTGGGGGACTCGGGGGTGACGCACAGACCGTCTTGTTTG